TTATTATTTTCTTATTTACTCTTCTATTTTCTTTCGGATTGATTTTAGTTTTTAAATTATTTGGGCAAGAATCTCTTTGTGGTTTTAATCTATCAGTAACCTTGTCCCTTTTTATGATTGTGGACTTATCAACTCCCAGAATTCCTCAGCCAGACAAGTTTGAAGACCCCTGCTATAGAATAAGAGGCAAGTTTATAATTGTACTTATTACTGCTTTCAGGATGAATTGAAGCTACTTTTTTGTATTCCTTTCCTTTCCTTTCGTTTCTATTTTTATTTTAGGTTTTCCCTTTCTTGCATTTTTAGCTTTTTTCATTTTTTTCTTATTTTCTATTAGTTGTGTTACTTTTTTCATTTTCTTTTTTTAAATTCTTGAATAAGAATTACAAATACATACACAGATAAATTCAACAGGTGAGAACCAAGAAAAACTAGGAGGGCACAGTTAATTTATCTGAAATTCATAATCAGGAAAGATGTGGAAATAACTCCAAAGTGATTTGGGATAAAAAGACTTTATTTTAGAGCTGGTGCCACTCTGGAAATGAAAGCTTAGTTAGAGGTTGCCACCGAATGCCTACTCAGCACTCAAGCCTACCCAAATTAAAAAAAGGGGGGGATATAGTGAGAGATCTTGATAAATTCTAATGATACGTCTAAGATTTTGTCAGCATCTTGTGCTACATTTTGGATCTTTGACAGGGACTGATGCAGACAGACCTCTGATGTAAAACGTCCCCCATCTTCAGTTTACCTGCAAAGGATCTCACAAATTGTGGATAGAAGTTCCACTGGTTAGAAGTTATAGTCCTTAGAAGAAGAATCTGAATTATGCCATCAGTTTAAGATTTAGCTAATGATTATCTCATTGAATTTTTGAAAGGTGGTTTTCTAAAACCAGCAAAAATTGCAGTGTGATTGTGCTATGATTTGTGCTAGGATATCTGTAATTTTAAAAGATGATTGCATGCTAAAAGGATATTCTTATATTGGCTTCAGGCTTTTGTACTTCCTGATGGATAGAAATGCTTCTGAGTACAGTTTGTTAAAAAATATATTGAAACTGATTTCTACAGTCCATAATTAGTTTGAAGTCTTGCTTTATCAACTAATTACACTAAGAATATGCCATAATCTCCTTTGTTTAGATAAAATGGGACTCAGCAAACTCAAGCTTCAGATTTTCTCACCTTCTCTGTGAATTTACGGCTTATTTTGGCTTATCTGCCTAACAATATACCAGGAGTGGGTAAATGACGTGGTGGTGATTGGGCTGTATTCCAGTGGACAGAGCCAGGATTAAATCTCATGTGCTACATGTAAAACATATGATCTTGTGAACTCAGATCTCACATTCGCAGATATACACATTTGTACATAGTCCCATTTTCACACTAATATAAATCTATTAATACACTTTTTATTTTCTCTCTCTTGATTTCTCGCCTCTTTTCCCCATAAGCATTCAAATATACACACACAAACTGAACAGGGATGGTCTCGCAGCAGGAAAGACTTTAACTTTTTTTTTTCTCTCTCTCTTTCTCACCCCTCCCCAGTGATCCAACGCAAGGTACTAGAGCTACTTTGCAGGGGTTTGTGGCAGTGCTGGGATTCAAACATGTGAACAACTGGTTCTCTGTGTGGCCGCTTCCGGAAGTCCATTCTGGGCCTGAGCAACAAAAAATTAGCTACTGGTTCTACCAAAGTGGTGCGAATTGGCTGAATCCCACCACTGGTTTGCTGGGAGGGTGTGTCTTTAACTATTTTGGTTGTACTGGAATCACTGAGACAGAACTATAATTAGCAATAGGGGAACAGGAGTGGTTCCCTGTGTCCAAATGATCTGGACAGTGGAAAAAAGATGCTGAGCTCCCAGGGGTCAGAGTTCAAGTAAATGAACCTATACTTGATATGCCTTTATAAGGTAAAGTAGTAAATAACCTTATGTTAGCCTCAATTAGAGATAAAGAAATAATTAAAACAAGCCAGACTGCTGTCTCTTCTTCAAGAGGTGCAAGAGACCCACAGCCTATGGCGGATTTGTCACTAAGCTTGGAATGCAACTTAACCAAATATTTTCTCCAACTCAAAATTATTGTTTTTTACCTGTTGTAGGTATCTCATTTATACAAAGCCAAACATTCTACAAGAATCCTTTTTATCAAGCCTATAAAACGTTATTCCAATCAGAATTTCAAAGCAGTTACAATATTTAAAAACAGTTAACAGAGCTCTGTACATGCATATTTAAAGCTCCATTTGAATTTAGTAAAGATTATTCTCAGACAAATAGATATAAAACCAGTGCTTAAAGCAGCAATCTTAACACATTCTTAATCTGGTGTAAATCTCATTTGCATTCCTGGAGTTTTCTATTAAACCAACTTATGATAACACTCAAAACTATGTCAGAAAGATCACAGGTGTGTTATTAACTTGATCTTTCTAATGTTTGCCACCATTGATCAGTGAAAGAAAATGAATGGACTATACACTGAACATTAATCATTTTAAGATTAGGAAATAACTTTAGACTTTTAGCTCTCTTTCTTATCTTGCTTCTACTTATGCTGTTATTTTTCACTTACTTAATTCACCCATCGTAAGAGAATCCAGTCCTTTTTAGCTACTAAGCATTGTTTTTTTAAAAAAACTTCTTTACCTACACTAATTTCTTTTTGAAATAGGAGTATGTCATTGGTATACACGATGACTGGAATTATGTCATAAAATGCTAAGTGCTAAAAAGTCAAACTATAGTTCCCCTTAAAGCAAAACTGCCACTGGATATCAAGGGTTACTTTGATCTTAGCAAATATCAAGAGAATTTTAAATGGCTGAAGAAAATGAGTATTGCCTTCCAACACATTAGAGTAGCAGTATCAGGAACTACAGGTCTGTATTATTTTGAAACTCTGCTCCCCCTCTTTCCAGTTGTGTTTCTTTTCTGATGACAATGATGTTGAATGACCTTTTCTTGTGTCAGAGGTATTGGCTGATGGAAAATAGCTTCTCTTGCCCACAGCAAATCTGTTGTTCTTTGATTCCTTCATTCTTAGCCATCTTCCTTCTCATGAAGGACCTATTTAAATATACAGGTAGTCCTTGACTTACAATCAGTCGCTTAGTGACCATTAGAAGTTATGACTGACCCAAAAAAAGGAGACATATGACTTGGATTTGAAGTTCCAGTGGTCAGGCTACCTTTGCAATCATGTGACTGAACTTTGGGCACTCAGCATTGTGGCTGCATTTATGGCCACTTGCAGTATCTTACTATCATGTGACTGCATTTTATGATGGTGTTAGCTTGCTTAATGACTTCAGCATTTGCTTAATTCTTATGTTAAGCAAAGCAAGAGAGGCATGGTGGTGCAGTGGTTAGAATGCAATATTGCAGGCTAATTCTGCTCACTGCCAGGAGTTTGATCCTGACCAGCTCAAGGTTGACTTAGCCTTGCAAAGTCGGTAAAATGAGGACCCATATTGTTGCGGGCAATATGCTGACTCTATAAACTGCTTAGAGAGGGCTGTAGAGGGCTGTTTGGATCGGTATATAAGTCTAAGTGTTATTGCTATGTTCACTTAATGATTGCCACCAAAAGGTCATAAATTTGGGTTGGTCCCATGACTATTGTGACATATGACCATAATAGCCAAGCTCCATTATGGTTGTATGTCAAGGTAGTCCTTGACTCATGACTGTAATTGGGATCGGAACTTCCATTACTAAGAGATGCAGTTGTTAAGTAAACCATCATATGATTGCATCTGATTTTACAAACCTTTTTTTGTCATAGTTGTTAAACAAATCACACAGTCATTAAGTGAAGCCAGCTTTCCTCATTTAACTTCACTTGTCAAAAGTTGGCTGTTGCAAATGGTGATTACATGACCCCAGGGCACTGCAAGTTTCGTAAATACACACCAGTAGCCAGACACTTAAATTATGATCATGGACCATGAGGAGACTGCAATGGTCGTAAGTGCAAGGACCATTGTAACTTTGGGGACCTTGGTGCTCTCTGAACTTTGTTGCTTTCTTGCAGACATTCCATTACTAAACTAGGTATGATCATCAAATGAATGGTTGTAAATTGAGAACTATCTGTTGCAGACTTTGGAGAACATAGAATATTCTCTAAACTGAAAAACCAAGAGAGGAATTGACCCCGTTGCTTTCTGGTTTCAATTTCCTGTCATTTTGTGCTTTAACCAAAACAGTGGCTAATTAAAGAGAAAATGTTTTCTCCTCCCCAAGGGGGAAAAAAAGGGCAGTTGTGTGAGAGAGAAGTGTGTCCTTATGAATCTGTTTTAAAACACCTCCCCCTCCCCAAATTGTTCCAGGCTGTTTAAGGTACTTTCTAACTAAGGATAGGAGAACTGGCCCCTTTTCTTCCTCTTTATCATATGGGAAAGAAAAACTTCCAGTAGAGGAGAAAGTCCAATTGATTGTCAATTTTCAAGAGCTTCCAGCAGCTTTGCTGGATGCCCCCTTTGGGTTCACAACCAGCAGCCAATTCCCCTCCCCCCCTGCTCTTTAGGTTGCTTTGTGAGAATGCTGTAAGTTCTCAGGAACAAAGCATCAGGTTTCAGGCACCACTTTCTGCAACAGGAACTTTGGGGGTAATCTTCCTTCTCTATTCATTGCCGTAACAAGGAACAACTGAGATATATTTCAATTGCTCATATAACAAGCCTTATCACATATAAAAATTAGACTGCACCTCTGTCTAGTAACCTCCAGTCTCTCTTTCATTTGCAAATCTCCCATGTTTTCCTAGTACTTCTTCTGTCTTTGATTTTATCAAGAAAAACCATTAAGGAGGCAGAGGTGGGATAAATGTACCACGATTTCTGAACATTGCATCCAAGAAAGCAGCTGATATCCTTTTACCTACCATAGTTGTGATCATTTCACAACAGCTTATCCACCCAGTCTATCCTGCTTCAATGCCACCCCATACTAGCTCATAGTTCAGAATACGAAAGCTCACCATTTATTTTGTTCCCTTGAAGATAAAGATTTTCAAGGCTTGTACTGACTCGTGGGATCTTCTGAAGCTGGTTGTAAGAGAGGTCAAGTTCCAGAATGCTGCTAGTATTGAAAGCATTTGCGGAGAGACCTTCATTTGTCAGGATGTTGTGAGACATTCGTACATACAGCAATTTAGGAGAGATCTTGAAGTAATCATCAGGGACTGTATTTATGTGATTGTGCTCCAAATAGAGTTGCTCTAAGGAGCTTGGAAGCCCACCAGGAACTTTTGTGAGCTGATTGTAGCTCAGATCTGCAAGGATCAGAGAGTTTAACCATTTGAGATTTGATCCTATCTCTTGGATATGGTTGTTGCTGAGATACAATGCAGTGAGGTTCTCTAAGCCTTCAAGGGCATTGGATGGGATCTTGGAGATCTGATTATAAGCCAGGTGAAGCTCTTTCAGTGACTGTGGCAAAGGGTGAGGCACTTTGGTCAAGTTGTTATGGTCAAGGTACAGCCTTTCTAGATTCTTGAGCTTGGCAAAGACCCTCTTGCCTATTTTCTCACTGGTTATTTGATTGCCATGCAGTGCTAACCACTCGAGCTTGGTTGCATTGTCAAAGGCTCCCTCTTGGATTGCCACAATTTGGTTATTCTGGAAGTAGGCATATTTCATCCGAGAAGGCACAAATGGAAGATACTTAAGATTGCGTGTATCACAATACAAGGCAGAAGAGAAATGAGGGGGGCATTCACATTCTTGAGGGCATTCCTTAGAAACAGGTGGTTCAGGGACAGGCTCTCCAACATAGGATCCAACTGGCTCAGAAGAGTAAGAAAAATAGGGGGGAATCTCATCTTCATAATATGGTGAATAGCTGTAGGAAGATTGGCTGCGTAAATATTGCTGTAGCCAGAATATGTCCTCATACTGATCTTCATATTGGCTCAAGGATATTCCACAGAAGCCAACTAGGATCAAAACAGAAGCCCAGTGCATTGTGCCACAAACTTTGGTTTTACCTATAAAGAGTACAGTAAAAAAAAAACAGAGAAAAAAACAACCATCAAAAATATTAACTTAAGAAAACAAAGCAGCAATAGCAATAGCACTTAGATTTATATACTGTTTCATAGTGTTTTAGTAAGTGGTTTACAGCGTTAGCCCCCCCCCAAATCTGGGTCCTTAGTTTACCAACTTCAGAATGGAAAGTTGAGCCAACCTTGAACTTGTCAGGATCGAACTCCTGGCAGTAAGCGGAGTTAACCTGCAATGCTACATTCTAACCACTCTACTACCACAGTTCCATACTAATTAGCAGCTGCTAATGTGTATAAAAGGGACTGAGATCACTTATGTTTAACTCATAAGTGATGTATGCTTTTCATACATACTAGTCTGAGTCAGGTTTATGGAACCACTAAAAGCATTTATTAGATTTTTAATGTCAGGCATAGAGACTTCAATTTGAAAGACTTGTAAGATCTTCCAGTCAAAACCAACTTTGAGAAGTATATAATTCCCTTCTTTGAAGATGTAGGAGATGAGCAGGCCGAGCCTGAGGGAGAGGTCAAATGAGTCATCAGTCACCCACAAGAGATCTAAGTCCTACCCACCTTGAATTCCTTTGGCTCTTATCTCCCGTTAATTTCCCTTGGCCGTTAGTAGTTCAGATTCTTGTAGAGAGCTCAAGCTTACAAAAAATCTTTATACCCATTTGAATTGTCTGGATTTCTTGATTTCCCTGGCACTTGACATTAAGCTCAGATTAAAAGCAAATCATCGATATAACAATTTCAACAGCAACATTCCAATCAATCCATGGGAAAATATAAAACAAAAAAACCTTGGAAATACCACATTCAATACGTATATTAGGACTGTATTTTAAAAATGATCCAAGAAGAGTAGACTAAAATCATTTTCTCAGTATCTTGGTTTTACATGCATGCACACAGATACACTGGATATGATAGAAAGAGAACATTGTGTTGTAGTCTATTCAATTTTTAGAAAAAAGAATTTTGATCCAAGAATTTTTCTCATATTGCCTTTTTTCTTTACTCTCTGTCTTTAAATATCTATGATTTTATTGGTGTAGAATGTAGCAGACCAACAAAACAGCCTGTTAAGATGCTGAACTCACCAACTTTGTGTATGCAGTAAGTGCAGAGTAAGTGCAGAAAACTAAGCAGGCTTCATCCTTCTTTTCTTCACAGCAGAGGAGGTTATATCTGAAAGAGCAAGTAAGATTTGCCCTTTCTTTCACATCTCTTCACTCACATAATTTTCTGGAGTTCCTTGGAAACGAAGATGCTCCTTGGATGTGCAACTGATGGAAAACCTCTCAGGAGCAATTACATCCAACACCTTAGCCATCTTCTTTTTCCACCTGGCAACCAGATGCAAGGTGGAATTATAATGGAAAACTAATTTGGATCTCTCAGACACCTAAGATGGACCATCTTAATTGGTCTACTATATTTACAGAAGTCAGGGAGAGCAATGAAGAGAAGTTTGACCACAAATTGATGTCTGTGTCCTCCATTTTCAGATTACATGTCATTATTATAAGAATAAATTCTAAATGTATGGTCCTGTTTGGGATATTGCAATATAGGATGCCATAAACAATAAGATTTGAGCTTCTGTTTCATATTGGTAGGAATACCAATAAAAGAGGGATGTATAACACGAGGTTCTTGGGATTTGGAGTACAGGTCAATACTTCTTTCAAGCATTGTAATTTTTAGTGTGAGAAGAAGGAACTTTCTGAAGCAGAAAAGTTGCAATGATATGAATTGCATTTAAAATAAAATGAAATTCAATTTAAAAAAACTACCATCATCCAGGTTTTGTCTTCCTTCCATTTTTTTTATTGTAACCTCATTTTACCACTCGAAAAGCAGGTAATCTTTTGAAATGTTGCATATGTGCAACATCTTTTACCTTTAATGATTTCAAGATGCCTTGGCAACTTCACCAAGTGAGCACTTTAAGGACCAGTTATATCAATGTTCTTCAAGGGAATGCCACTTATTTGAACTGGATTGCAGCTCATGTCATCCCTGCCGATTTGACTTATGTGAGTTGACAATCCACACATATATAGGGCATCACCTTTAAAAATCTGATTAATAAAACTTTGATATGCCAGTTGGATTTAAACCAGTCAGTGAGCAGCTAATGGACCAGTATACGTCAAGAAAAAGATTTCTTAAAATAGCAAGGATATTTGAAAAGATCAACATTGTTTTATGAATAATGTGCAAATGAGAAAAAATAGCATTAAAGGAATGAAGTGAGGAATCCCTAATTTTTGTCACTAGAACAAAACATATTCCAGCTCCTTTGTGCTAATAACTAGAGAAAATAGCCTTCTCTTGGTCTGAGGAACTCCCTGGCATCTCTAGAGTAAAAAGTCATGTTAGTCGAAGACTTATGCCTCAAAGCTTGTAAAACTGTCATCTGAATTGACCAAAGATAGGAGATCTGTATTCCTCCAGACATTAGTTAACTCTCAGCTTCCCTTATCATTGGTGTACTGATTGGGGGTTGATAGAAATTATTGTCCTATTATACTAGAAATTCTACAAGTTTCACATTACATTATTGGATTATTTCCCCATTATACTTTATTTCAATGGAAACTGCCTCATTAGAATAAAAAACTATGTCTTCATCTAATTGCTATTATGCAAAACAGTGTATAAAAATAAGGATTATTAACCGATACCAAACTTCATTTCTTGATATGTAACAACAAAGATGACAAGACCTGCATTCTGCTTAACCTTAAATTTGACTAGGATGGTTATTTATTTTACATGAGATATTGTATTTTTTTTCCCTTTAGGTTCAGATTGATAGCATCATTATAAAAGTTGGCAACTTCATGCCATGCTATCAATATTCTTTCCTAATAATAATTTAAAAAAAAGATTAACAGCTAGGTGATTTATCTTAATGATCAGTAGCAATGCATTCCTTATTATTTATTATTTATATATAAATTCCCATTTCTATTTATTGTAAATATTTTTCCATCTTTCAACTGTAGTTTCAAAGAAATCTGTAAGATGAATAAAAGAATGAAAATATGAGCACTGAAATATAATTAAATGAAAGACCAGAAAATATCAAATGCAATAGAAAACACTGCAAGATTGAAATTACATATGAAATCCTCAAGAGAACAGAAATAATTTTGCTATCATCAGAGGAAAACAATGTAGGTGCCAGTTCCAGGGAAGTCCATTCTACCCCTGGGCACGATGACAAAGAAACTTGTTGGCAGAACATTTCATCTCAGAAGCTGAAAAAAGGATTTAAAGAGAATTTTGAGACTGGGAATGAAGAAGACACTGCATGGTTGCTCTATAAACTGAGTCGAAGTCACTTTCGAGGGCTCTTCTATATACTCAAATATAGGGATCTGGGATTTTGCATTGTAAAAACTGCTATTGTGCTACTTGCTTCCACTGTTTTCAACATGTGGAAAACAAATTCAAATATTACAAAATATCATAAATTTCCAATGATCTCTTCTTGCAAAGGAAGCCTGACCCTGTTACACAGTGTTCTTGGAACTTCTCAGTGTTTGGGGAACTGAAAACAAATAACAATATGTTATTGTGGAGGGCGGGAGCTGTTTCAGTGGATAGGCATATTTAGCACAATGTTCAGGCATTGTCTAGAGTAGATGTAGGCATCAAAGGTTAATTGAACACAGACCCTTAATATAACACTTTTGCTTGTCTGGAAGGATTGATGAGCAGTCCTCAGATTTCTGGAATGTCATTGATCTCTAGACAAGAGACTTTTTGGTAAAACTTTCTTTATTCTTGCCCATATAAAAAAAGAGAAAGAGCACAAATGCATATGAATCTATAAATATACACACACATGCATCATATATAATATACATAACAGAAATTATATTTTACACAATCACATACACATAAAGAGTAGATACATATATACATTCTCTCTCTCTCTCTCTCTCTCTCTCTCTCTCTCTCTCTCTCTCTCTCTCTCTCTCTCTCTCCAGGCTGTATGGGTACTGTCTAGCGGCTGGGTAGCATAAAAGTTAGAGCTTTGTCCCTTGACATGGAGACTAGGGTTTGAATCCCAACTGGGACCTACCTTACCAGTCCTTGGGCAAAGACCCCTTAACACCATACCTGTCTACTCTGAATACGAGAGTGACATGAACTAAGAGACTTATGTCAGCCTGGACATCATTCTGATTAATAAGATATGTATCAGATGTTGGGGAACCAAGACAATCTGGTGAAAAGTGGGCTATGGAACATACCATACATGGACAAAATTAGAGAACCTGGAATCCATTGCATGCTATTGCAACAGTAGACTTAATGAGAAGGGATATATGAAGTGTCTGAGGGAGCTATGGATGGATAAAAGACCTACATCCACACTGAGAAACAGCTAGTGAAGAGGAAACTATTCTCACAATTTGAGATAGACCAATTATACATTACACTTTGTTTTGAAGGAGACCAGGAAGAATAAGTGAACACGCAGCCAATACCTGACAGTGGAACATCACTGCCACCCTTCCATAACACAACATAGTAGTTGATGTGAAACATAAGATCAAGCTACAGTCAACCCTCAAGACCAATTACTAAGATGCTGTGGAGATGTGCCATCAAATGTTATCCTAGAAGATGCCAGTAGAGCCCTCATGACAATCCCTACTATCATCATAACTCAAACCAATGAACTACACTACACTACACTACATTACACTACAGCCATGTAATCCTGGGGAACAGCAGTACATCTCTCCACCCCCTTGGAAAATGAGGTTGGCTGCTAAGATCAAGACAACACAGAGAGAAATTAGTCAGTTGGTGAAACTACAGAAGGGTGCGGAGATTAAGGATAAGACTCAGCTAAATGCCTGTTCTCCAAAGAACCATCTAAGGCAATGATGGCAAATCTTTTAGAGACCGAGTGCCCCCAAACCACCCCACCCTCCACCCTGCCCCACACC